CCTATTCATTCTGTAGTATTGGAGCCCGTGTCTAGGAAAGAGATGGAAAAAAAAAAGAATTAAATTCAAGAAACAGCTTAGTTGTAAATTTAAATATTTTTAAGAATATCTTTAGAAAAAGAAAACAGGAACTAATTGTGCTAGTGGTTTTGAGGGGTGGGAAAAAAGAATAAGGCAAGGTTGAAGAGGGAAGTTGATTATGGAAACACCTTGAGAACTTCATTAACTTCCCTTTCAAACAAGGATAAAATAGTCATGCTTAGCTCTCCACAGTTACACTAGAGAAAAACCAAATCGTCTGACCTGTGTTTCATGTACTGTTATATAATCACATTTTTGGGGCAAAGTTGTCTTTTATTGCCCCAAAAATTTAACACACGAAAGGATCGTAACATATACTCAGGAAAGAATTGTCTTTAAAAATATTTCTTGGTGAGAAATCCAAATTTTAGCAATTACCACGTTTTTCACTGCTTCTATATTGGGAAGCCACTTTATTATAGAAAGCTAACTTTTTGGACCAGCTGTTGTGGTGGTTAAGGGCGCTGGACTCCCACATGGCTGACCATGGTTCGAGTCCTGAACCTTGCAACTTATTCTCTCACTCCCTCCCCCAAACCCCCATCCTAGTCCCTCTCTGGTCAAAATAAAATATAAATAAATAAATAAAGTTAAATAAAATAATTCTTTTTAAAAAAAATAAGAAAGAGAGCTGACTTTTAGAGTTAATAGTACCATCTCATTTATCTGCCATCCACTTAAGAATGGTGTTTTCTAAATTATTTAAACTACTTCTATCTGTGGATACCAACTTTAGTTTTGGAAATGAAAATATCTAAGCTTGAGATCTTTTCTGCTGTTCTAGAGTAAATGGAACAGAACCTAAGCCTTTAAGTACCTGACAAGGTTTTCATTGAAGATCAATTGTTACACTATCCTAAGTGGAGAAGCTCCTCAGAAGCCACTGCCATAGATAAGGATGATTTGCTACTTCTCATCCAACTGAAGTTGGGAAAACCAACGTGTCTGTATCTGTAACAAGAGTAACTCACTGTAAGGACCACCAGGTGGGAGCTCCTATAAGTTAAATACACATCTTACAAAGGCTCTTTGATACTGAGTTTGCTCATAGGCCTTCTTTACTGACATTCAGGTTCTTAAATACGGTTCAAATAGCTAAAATGGACAGTCTACTAGTCCACATCTGTGCTGTCCAATACAGTAGTAGCAACTGGCCAGCAGCCACATGTGGTTACTTAAATTTGATTTAAATAATAAAATTATAATATTAAGTTCCTTGTTGCCCTAGCCACATTTCAAGTGCTCAAAATTCACATGTGGTTATTGGAATATGTGGACATATTAATCGAACAGTACTGGTGTACATCATTAATTTTTTTTTTTTGGAGAGGTTTTTGCTATAGGGTGCGTGTGCTCGCCAGACAGAGAGAGACAGAGAGACAGAAAGCGAGAAATCACCCCCCAGGGGGGATGGCCATGCTGCAATCCCTCTTCCTCCGTTCTCCTCTCGGGATCTTGGGCACACGCGCCTGGCGTGAGTTTAAGCTACCGGGTCCGGGACTCGAACTGCGGTTGACTACGTGGGAGTCCAGCGACATAGCCCTCATATTTAATGCAATCTCAATAAAAGTGCCAGAGACTTTTTTCACAGATCTAGATAAGATTATCAAAGAATCTGCCTGGAATCAAAAAAGATCCCATATTGCCAAAGTAATCTTATGCAAAAAGAGTGGAGCAGGTGGCATTTTACTTCCTGACCCCAAAATATATTGCAGAGCTGTGATAATCAAAATAGCAAAGTATTGGAAGAAAAATAGACATGTAGACCACGGGAACAGAATAGAGACCCAGAAATAAACCCTGAACCAGTCAGCCAATTTCTTTCTTTTTCATTTTTAGATAAATGTTATGGAATTTATTCAAATTACAGACCTTAACAAGTTACACTTGATTTAGACAATGAACCAGGAAGTGATATATAGCTTAACAATTTTTGTATTGGCTAGTATAACATGAAATACTGTCAAAACATTTCCTTGCTTTTGGTTAATTCTGGTTCAACCATTCAAATGGCTAACTTAAATAGTTCAGAAAACCATTCAGTTTCTCCACAGTAACTGGAAAATTTGTACTCAGTTTGATAGATTATTAGAAATATGTACTTATAAAAGTTGTACTGGTGTACATCATTAATTTTTTTTTTTTGGAGAGGTTTTTGCTATAGGGTGCGTGTGCTCGCCAGACAGAGAGAGACAGAGAGACAGAAAGCGAGAAATCACCCCCCAGGGGGGATGGCCATGCTGCAATCCCTCTTCCTCCGTTCTCCTCTCGGGATCTTGGGCACACGCGCCTGGCGTGAGTTTAAGCTACCGGGTCCGGGACTCGAACTGCGGTTGACTACGTGGGAGTCCAGCGACATAGCCATTACGCTAACTGCTGGTCCCCATTAATTTGTTTTGATAGAGGTCTAGGAATTATAAATTAATGCCTATATTCTATAGTCTAATAAAAATGTAAAAATTCAGGATTCCAAAATAACATTAATAGTTCAAATTAATTGTAAACTATTTTCATATTTTTTCTTATAATTAATATGAACTATCAAAATGTTATTTGGGGATCCAGGAAATTACACCACCTTGAAATGATTTATGCTACCACCTTGAAGTGACCTTAAAATAATGCCAATATAAAGTAACATTGATCTAGGCCAGCCTTGTAGACTGGTATTTAAGGGAAACTAATCTCACATGGGCAACTAGGGTTTGAGTTCTAGCCCTGGTGGCCTGAACAACATGCCAGATGTGTGTGCACCTATGTTCAGAAGTCTGACATGATAGAGAGGTGGAGGAGAAGTGGCTGCTATGAGACCATGGCAGGGGTGTTTTCTCCCTCTCCTCTCTGTTTCCTGGTCTCTCTCTGGTGAGTCTACATGCCCTCCAGCAATTATATAACATTGTTCTTTGCTATAATAATAAAAAGATCTAGTATCTGATGACTATATTAAAAGTCAACTCTGCCTAAAGTTCTTAGAATGATTATTCCCTGTTAACCTTCTGGCCAGTTTGTAATATTGCTAGTTTCAGAGATTTTATGACATCTGTAAGGTGTAAGGGAATACTTTCTTTCTTTCTTTCTTTCTTTTTTTTTTTTTTTTTAAGAGGGAGACTTTTGCTATACATGTGTTCGGTGGATGGAGAGACAAAAAATGAGAAATCATCCCCTAGGGGGAATGGCCATACTGCAATCCCTTCTTGGGATTTTGGGCACATGCCCAGAGTGAGTTTTAAGTCACTGGGTCCAGGACTTGAGCTGCAGTCGACTATGTGGGAGTCCAGCAAAGGGAATAACTTCCTAAAAAGGGGCTGAAGGTACAGGTTGAGCATCTCTAATCTGAAAATTTAAAACACTCCAAAACTTGAAACTTGTTGAACATTAGCATGATGCTACAAGGAAAAATACCACATCTGACCTCATGTGATAGGTCAGTCAAAACACGGCAATACAAAAATATTATGTAAACTTATTTTCAGGCTATACATACAAGGAATACGTGAAACAAATGAATTCTGTGTTTAGACTTGGATCTCATTCTCATTATCATATGCACATATTCTAAGATCTGAGAAAAATCTGAAACCCAAAAACTTTTGGTCTCAAGTGCTTCAAATAAGGTATATCAACCTATATAATTTCATGCAACTATTAAAAATTGGGTTTTGGACCAGCCAGTGATATGGTGGTTAAGGTGGCTGGATTTTACATAGCTGACCACACGGCTCAAGTCCAAGACGCAGTGGCTTGAAAAACATGCTAGGTACATGTGCATGTCTGTCCAAAATGCCACAAGAAGGGAGAAATGGAGAAGAGATTGTGGTGTGATCAATCCCTGTGGGGGATACTTTCTCGCTCCCTTACTCTCTCCAGCAAGTGCACACACCCTCTGGCAAATTTAAAAAAAGAAAAAGGGTTTAAGAGACTGGTTATGCATATGCACCCATTACTGTAAAACATCTATACATAAGACTAGGAAGTTATGAAATATTATAACCAGTAAGTTATCTCTGGGTCATGTTACAGATGATTTGTGTGTGTGTGCTTTTCTGTATTCACATTTCTTCAATGATTAGCTATTTCTCTCAAAATCCAAAATATATAAAAACCCGTAACTCAAGAAGTGGGAATATTACTTTCTATATTCCTCTTTTTCTTGCTTCTCAAAAATTCCCTTTCTGGAGAGTAGCAATCTTGTCTTATTTAATTTCAGGAACAGGTACTCTAAGCACAAGTAGTTCATACCGTAATGTAAAGGTAAGTATATATTTAAAATCAATTAGCAAAAAGGAAATAACTAATCATGGAACAGAAAGCAGAGAGGTACACCATTTTTTTTTTTTTTTGGAGAGGTTTTTGCTATAGGGCATGTGCGCTTGCCAGAAAGACAAGAGAGAGACAGAGAGACAGAAAGCAAGAAATCGCCACCCAGGGGGGATGGCCACACCGTAATCCCTTCACCTCCATTCTCCTCTCGAGATCTTAAGCACACACGCACACGGCGTAAGTTTAAGCCACCAGGTCCAGGACTTAAACTGTTGTTGACTATATGAGAGTCTAGCAACATGGCCATTACACCAACTGCTGGCCCCAGAGACATACACTTTGTGAAACATTTAAGGACCTAACAACTTTCTAGGCCAGTTATGTAAAATTCACCTATAGAAATGTAATAGATTAGAAAAATAGATATTTACTATCATGACTGTTCTTACAACTACTTGAGAACTGCTCTAAAATAATTTTAAAAATGTATGGGTATCCAGCAATATAAAAACCACAGGATAATTGTTAATTAAACCACATTTCCTTAAAGTAGGTGGCTGTGAAAAGTCTGATAATCTGAAATAGGGAAGTGAAGTTTACCAATTTGCTTATTTTCTTCACCACACAAATTCAAGCTATGTGAGTAATCTCTGCGTCTTTGGAAATCTGTATACTCAAGTCAGTAAGAGGACTGGTCGAGACCAGGACTTCAGAATCTGTCAGGTGAAGAAGCCAAGTCTCTAACTAGGAGCTGATCACGTGGTCATTTTCCCCCTCTGCCTTTTCAGACAGATCTCCTAAAGGCTCATAAAAACAAGATTTCAGGTAGCTTTGCTTTTATAGTAATTAGGCAAACACTTACTTTTACCGTCGCAGGCTACAATTTTCACTTTATCCACTTTAATCAGTTCTGTCACCTCTCTGAATTCAACATCATTCAATACGAAAGTCCACACGTTATCACAGAATCTGTACGTGTTTAGAGAGCCCTTTAAGACAAAACATTTAGACATACCATCAAGCCATTTTTCCCTCACTTTCCTCCAAAATAACTTAAGAGAACTTAGCTACCAAGTACAAAATAATTAAGTGTTTAATGCTTAGCTTGCTTAGGATTTTCCTTAATTTTAACCCTACCTACTTAAAAACAAAACAAAGAAAATCTAGATAAATTTGCTAAAAGAAAGAGTTCAAAAATATTTTAGTTAAGAGACTATTTTTAGGACTTTAAAAGTACCTGCAAATTACTTGCAAAACAAAACTGAATAAAAACTTGAATTTGTATTTCTACTGCCCTCATGTGGCTAAATTATGAAGGTTCACTACATTTTTATGTAAACACTTATAAAAAGCTACCTATTTTATTCTGTAGGAAATCTAGGGATTTCCTAGAACATTAAACAAATTTGCATCCAAAGTTACACTTGAACATTAAAAAGAAATTTCCTCAAAGAATGTGGTGAAAGTGTAAGGACAGAGACTAACAGAATATGATCAAAACCAGAGATATACACACATGCACATACGAAATTAGCACAGAACATTTAAATGCCTAAAATATTGAATTTTTTTTAAAAAAAAAGCACAAAGCACAAAAATGCTCCTTATAGTATTATCTGTAACAGCAAAAACTGGATTCAATCTAAGCAGCCTGTCAAAGAGAATGATTAAGGAAAACTATGATGACTAGGAATGGTTATTGAGTTCAACAAATACGAGCAATTACTGTGTACTAGACAGTGTACATTACTGCTCTGGGCTCTGAGAACACGAGAGAAAGCACTGGTCCCTATCACTGGTGAGCTTAGCCTAGCAGGGCAATCACTGAAACGAGGAAGTCTTCGTGTAACAGTGCTGTGACAGTTAAGTTACTGGGCACAGTGGGTATTCAGTGGGGGAATCAAAGTGGAGGACACCGGCAGAGGAAGCTGCTTTCAGAGTGAAGTTTAAGCTGAGATCTGAGGAATGAGTAGGAGTTATATTAAGGGGGAAGTGGGACAGTAGATAGGAAGATACAACTTGGAATGAGGTTGTAGATTCCAGAAAACACAGTATGTTAGGAAGTCTTAAGGTTAAGGAAGCCATGGAGAACCTTGCAAAGCCTTTGCCCTATCCAAACTATGGTATTGGGGAGTCTGTGATGGATTTTAAGCAGAGGAGTCACATGATCTGCTTTGTATTTTTGGTGATGATACGAACAATGAATTACAGGGGACTGTAACTGAAGGCAGGACGACCAGCTAAGAAGCTGATCTCTCTTAGGGAGCTGAATCAGAGGTGAAAAGTGGCTTTACTATAGTCCATGAGGGGACCAACAGAGAGATTTTAAAAGGTAGAACTGACAGGACTTGGCAACAATAGGTAGGGTATAGGGTACACACAGATAAATCTACCTACACTTGCTAACTATTAAGTTTCTGACTTGAGTGACAATGGAGCAGAAAAAAAGCTGGTCTGGGAGGAAAGTTACATTTGGAACTTACTGAGTCTGAGACATAGCTAAGCCACGATGTGCAATAAGCAGTGTAGGAGAAAGAACAGAAACTTGAGCATATCATGGGGTCGGAGAACACTCAAGGGGAATATGTGGAGAGCCTAGATAGCCTTAAGAAACACCAGCAATTGGGACCAGCAGTTAGTGTAATGGCTATGTCGCTGGACTCCTATGTAGTTAATCATGGTTTGAGTCCCGGACCCGGTGGCTTAAATTCATACCCAGCGTGTGTGCCCAAGATCCCGAGATCCAATGGAGAAGGGATTGCAGCGTGGCGATTGGGGGGTGATTTCTCGCTTTCTGTCTCTCTGTCTCTGTCTGTCTGGCGAGTGCACGCGCCCTATAGCAAAAACCTCTCCAAAGAAAAAAAAGAAACACCAGCAATTAAATGATAGCCAGAGCAGGAAAGGTGATCAATGTGGTTTTAAGAAAAGTATAGATTTCAAAAGAGAAAAAAACACAATGATATAACAAACTCAGCAAAAAAATAACTTGAGATTAATACATGGAAAATCACTTATGACATAATGTCAAGTGAAAAAGACAGAATAATAAATGCAAAAACATATTTACAAATGAGAGGTGCTCTTTGCTTTAGTCTGATCCTTTGAAGTCTAAACCACTAAATGCCAAACTCGACGTTCATTTCTGGCATCATGAAGTTGCGTAGCGTACAGGTTTTTTTTCATAACCTATATAATGTATAAGTTCTTCTCATATATTTTCATACATTTTTTTTTGAGAGATTTTCGCTATAGGACGTGTGCGCTCACCAGAAAGACAGAGAGACACAGAGAGAAAGAAAGCAAGAAATCACCCCCCAGGAGGGATGGCCACGCTGCAACCCCTTCTCCTCCCTTCTCCTCTCGGAAACTTGGGCACGCATGCACCCAGCGTAAGTTTAAGCCGCAGGACCTGAACCGCGGTCGACTACATGGGAGTCCAGTGACATAGCCATTATGCTAACTGCTGGTCCCCTATTTTTATATATTTTAATAAACCTTTTTTATATCTGAAGGGAGATTTTTGCTTAGCAGTGTATGTACTTGCCAAAGAGATAGAAAGCGAGAAATCACCACCCCCCCTCCAGGGGGATGGTCACGCCACAATCCCTTCTCCTCCATTCTCCTCTGGGGATCTTGGAAAAACACACACACGAGACCAGCGTGCGATTTGTAGCCACCGGGTCCGGGACCCGAACCGCGGTCGACTACATGGGAGTCCAGTGACACAGCCATTATGCCATCTGCTGGTCCCACATTTTAAATATTTTAATTTATATCTTATGACTGTGCCCTATAATAAAACATAAATGTAATAAGATAACCAAGCATCATTATATACCAGAATATTACATGTCTCCATCAATATCATAATGTGGTAAAATTATTTCTAATCCACCATGATTCTTTCAAAGGGCCCTTTGTCCACATTGACCATGAAATCGAGAGAGATCATTTTGTTTAGCTTTGGATAACTGTTCTAAGTATAAATGACTCTAAGGAGACCAAGGTACTGGAACAGTCATGATGTTCAATAAGCAGTGCAATGTACCACAACTCAGGCTTTATTTTTTTTTAAGCTAGGTTATCTGAAATAGTTAGAAGCAACTCTGTACTTCCTTAGAATGAGTGACAATCAGTTTGAAAAACATTAACTGAACCTTAGAGATTACTCTGTCACTTAACTTCAACCTTGCAGGTAAAGCTTCAAGCGTTTGAAATTTCAGTAACTCTTTAAGGAAGGTAGCCAAACATACTCAAGCTGACTTGTAAAGCAATAGAATAAAAATCTAAAAACAACTTTGCATCTTACATTAACTGTATGAACTTAATGTACAGTTACTTTTAAAAGTAAGGTATAATTTAGTTGTTACAAAACAAGTTTTTTAACCAAAACTCGATTAAGCCATCTCCTAATTATTAAGCATGTAGGGATCTTAAAACACTGCTATAACAATTGGTGCAGGCGTCTAAATTTAGGAAAATATCCTTACCCTGAAATTGACTCTGTTCCTGACCCTCTGAGCCAATGCTGAATTTATAGCCTTATCAAACTGAAGTAGAACTTGAAGGGCAAGTTGGGGGGTAATCTGTTGAGACTGAGAAAAAGCAAAGGTCAGAAATCCTCTTAAGGAAGGCATTAAACATAAAATAAAACAAACAAAAAAATTAGCTCATCTACAATTTGACTGAGATTAACCGCGGCCCCTGAAATAGAATTCCTTATCCCTCTTTGCCATAATTGGCAACAAAGATGTAAAGTATGCGTGTATCTTTTGCATTATTTTCCAGAAACATAATTTTGAAAAGAAAGTATGTAAGTAAGTGACATTATCAAGTCAGAATAACTCTTATTATTATTTTTTTTTCCACAGTGGCTGGGAAAAGGTGTTCAACAAGTCAAGGAACCAAGTTTCCTTTTTTAAAAAGGATAAGGTCTATATTTAAAAAAAAAAAAAGAAAGAAAAAAGAAATTGGGCCAGCAGGTGGTGTGGTAATTAAGGCACTTGACTCCCACGTGACCAACCATTATTCAAGTGCTGGACCCTGTGGCTTGAAAATTACAACAGGCGTGTGTACGTGTGTGCCCAAACTCCTTAGAGGAGAACGGAGAAGGGTAATTACAGCAATGCCATTTCCCTTAGGACGTGATTTCTCACTTTCCCTCTCAGTCTCTTGGTGAGTGCATGCGTCCTATAGCAAAAGCTAAAAAACAAAACAAAACAATGAAATCTTACTGAAGCCCGTAACGGATATCAAAAAAGAAATATTTATTATGTTCTTCGTTGAGAGGTTTAAATAAAAAGGTTAATTCTCTTAAAACTGGAATATAAACTCAAAATTTGAATTTAAATCTCAAAAACTTTTAAGTTTGAGAGAATTATCTTAATGCTACATAGAATTTGCCTCTCTCCTAAATATGATGAAAAAGGGAAGGAAAACTGACAATCTCAACTTTTATGTTTAACAAAATTTTTAAAAAATTTAGATATATTCAGTATCATTCCTTCATCATTGTATTTTGTGTCCGGTTGTCAGAACGGTGTGATAAATAGGAATTTGAGGTAATTTATCAGTTAATAATACTGACCTGCTGGATCAAACAGTCTAAACTATTTTCCCTCGGATCTCTGCCTGGGATAAAGGTTGTGACAAAAATTATTTTAGGCCCATCTAAATAAAAATGCTTGATTTTGGTCTCCTACCTGTATGAGCTCATCTAGGCTCTCCTGAAGACTGTTCCCCAAGGTGGTATTTCTGTATAACTGATATGCCATGGCTTAGGAAGAAGATACTGTTTTTCTTACTCAGGCCTGCATTGATATCCTAAAATTTTTAAATAAAATAAAAAATCATATTGTAACATTTTAATTAAGCATGTAATATATAGTCTACTCCATACATTCTAATAAAGAACCACTAGAATTCTTAGTAATTACACATTACTATATAATAAAAATGACAAAGAATAGTTAAAAAAAGGTTTTCTAGTTATTTTTTCTGATTCTTGACACACAGGTATTTATACTCCTTTCCACAGTACAGATGCCAATATTTATTAAAACATGTATCTTTACAATTTCTTTCAAAAGTCTGCCTTCTGGGACCAGCAGTTAGCGTAATGGCTATGTTGCTGGACCCCCATGTAGTCGATCGTGGTTCGCATCCCGGACCTGGTGGCTTAAAACTCACACTGGGTGCGTGCGTGCGTGCGTGCGTGTGTGTGTGTGTGTGTGTGTGCCCCCGAGAGGAGAATGGAGAAGGGATTGCAGCATGGCCAACCCCCCTGGGGGGGTGATTTCTCGCTTTGTCTCTCTCTGTCTCTGCCCGGTGAGTGCATGCGCCCTATGGCAAAAACCTCTCCAGGAAAAAAAAAAAAAGTCTGCCTTCTGACTTAGTCTAGAATTTTCCATGAACTATCCTTTCTATTTGAAGTTGTCACTGATCCAGACAATGTTCGGTTCACATTTCCTGCCCTGCTATCTTCCTGTTCTCTTAGAATTCAAGATTTAGAGTGCCTACCAAGGCACTGTGTTGGGTACCAGAGAGAGGAAGATGAATAAAGATCTACTCCAATCCTAAAAGTGCATACTCTAGAGAGGGAACCAGACTCAGCAGGCGGCTTAATTCAGTATCAAAAAGAACTCTGTTAGAGACGCACACTGTGCACCTGGGAGGCCACCTGCGGACTGAGTGGAATGGCTCACTGATTCTTCAAGCAAGACTTCAGCTAAGCAGAGGAAAGTCCTCCGAGGCTGACAGGACGAAATAAAGGCACGGGACGATGAAATAATCAGGACTGTGGGAGAACTGACAGGAATAGAGAGGAGGCAGAAGGAGATGGCATGGATTCTGATTCCGCTGGAGAGGTGCAGGCACTGGGAAGCCTCAGAAGGCTTGTGAGCAGGAAAGGGGGCGTGTGACTTGGTGGCAACTCTGCAGAATCCACACACACATTTTCTGAGCTTCACCACAGGTCAGGTATCAAATCCTGACCCAATGTACTTTCAGCCTAGGCTGGGCAGGAAGACACGTAAACTGCAGCACAAACAACAGTCAGTCTTCGCACTGCACACTCGGCACCTGGTATCTGCCCTCCTGAAAACTTTCTTTGGCTTTTGGGACCCTGCTTTCAGTTCTCTCCTCCTACCAGACTGGATATCACTACATTTCTCATTATCTCGCTAGTTCCTCCTCGGCTCCCTGACCTCTAACTACTGAATGGCCCTAGGCTTGCTCAGATCTTCTCTACTCCAATAGCTTCATTTCCTTCATTTACCTCACCCAGGCCCCTATTTAAATACCTTGATAAATAGGTAACTGAATCTTCATCAGCTGATGTCCCCCACTCCTCACTTTGTACCCGCATATGACTGCCTTCTTGACTCTTGATAAAGGTATCACATCGACAACTCGAATTGAATTTGTCAAAAGCCTAATTCCTGATACTACCTCTCCAAACCTACTCTGTCCGCAGTTTTGCCCACCTCGGTAAACAGCAAGTGGGGTCTTCCAGTTAACACAGCCCCAAAACCTGAGAGTCAACATTAACTTCTTTTCCCTCTTAATGGACACCCAGTCCTTTCTACTGATAAATGGAGCCAGAATCGAGCAACTTCTGCCACCTTTACTGCCGTCACTCTGGCAACTTCATCTGTCACGAAAATTAAATGGCCTCCCTGTTTTAATCCTTGCACATCCCTCCGCAACTCTCATCCCCACAGCAGCCACACCAAGACTTTAAAACAGTAGGCAAATCATGCCATGCATCGACTCAAAACCACCAACAGCAGCATCCGATCTCAGAGACAAACACAGTCCTACCGTGGTCTGCAAGGACTACCTGACCTGGGCCCCCACTCTGCTCCTGCCCTTAGCTTTGCCTCCCATCCCTTACCGCTCTGCTCCCCTAAAACACTGGTTCCCTGCTGTTCCGCGACAGGCAGCATTACTTGCTTGAGGGCTTTGGCACTGGCTGTTCTTTTTGCGGAGAATGTTCTCCCCAGATACCTACACAGTTCACTCCCTCATTTGATTCAGATCTCTGCTCCAACATCACTTTCTGTGATCAACCTACGGAAAGAATTTTTAGGGTGTTGGAAAAGTCATGACAAGTTTTGCAGAGAAACAGAAAATATGTCATGACTTTTCCAACGCCCCAGTATCTTCCTTCTTTATTCTGCTTTATTTTCCTTCAGATCAATAACTGAAAATAATATATATAAGCTTACTTTGTCTCCATTTACTGAAACAATCCATGAAGACAGGGACTTTTGTTCAGGTACACAGTTATCACCTAGAACAAGACTGCAGCAGGTATTCGGCAGGTATCTGCTGAGTGCAGATACTTCGGTGGTGGTATCAAAGTACTGAGGACAAATGACAGGGAAAACCCAAGAGCACCCCTGGGTCCCTTAAGCATTTTAATCACACGGGTACAATGAAAACTGTCCAAGAGCTTCAGGCACTGTTTTCCATCTTCTTTCTTTTCTCCCGCTTTTCTCAAGGTAGCTGGCCCCAGGATGGCTGACTTTTGTTTTTTTAAGCGTCTGCCTTCAGACATACAGACTGGCACATCCCTCAATGGCTGGCACCAGGATTAACGACAGGCCAATGAAACCACCAGGTATTGTGAAGGACCAGCAGGCATTCCGACAGCCTTGGCTCCTCAACTGTAACTCTCCTTTCCTTAAGACGTAGTAAAAGCCCGGGACCAGCAGTTGGCGTAACGGCTATGTTGCTGGACTCCCACGTAGTCGACTGCGGTTCAATTCCCGAACCTGGTGGTTTAAACTCACGCCAGGCACATGTGCGTGCGTGCCCAAGATCCCAAGAGGAGAATGGAGGAGAAGGGATTGTGGCGTGGCCATCTGCCCTGGGGGGTGATTTCTCCCTTTCTGGCGAGCGCGCACGCCCTATAGCAAAAATCTCTCTCTCTCAAAAAAAAAAAAAAAAAAAAAAAAGAGACAGA